CTTACCAAGGAAATGCTCATTACACAAGGTATCATTTTTAGCTATTGATATAAGAAAGACTTTTAAAAGAAGTTTCCATCTTTCTCCTGTCCTAGTGAAGAGGATTAAATTGGCACACACATTTCTGAAAAGCAATTGGGAATGATGCCAGGAGCAGGGAAGAAGATATGAGTAGTGCACAATTTATCTGAAGAAATTCAGGCTGACAGAAAAATAGTCACATAAATAAATAAATAAATGCAAAATCCTCTTGGTTGCATTAAGAGAATGAGGTGGTTGCAATGGGGGCTCACATAAGGGAATGATCAGTGCAAAGAGAGGAAAGGATTCAGGAAAGATAATGCAGATGAGTAGAAACTCTGTCCTGAAAGACAAATTGGTATAAATCAGTCTGGAAGAAATTCTCCTTTGCAATTGCGATGTTTGGAGCCTAGGACCCAAAAGGAGGTGGCATGAGAAGTTCCCAGAAGTCAGTATAGTTTAAGAGAAGCCCTCATTTGGACTAGCTCCCTGTACCCCAGAACTCACAGAGGGCCTAGTCTTTAAGATCAGTTAAGAGAAGGAACATTTTCTTTTCTTAAAATAACATAGCAGACTATTGTACAATTCTTTCTTTATTCACATACTGTGTAAATTTTTCATATTGTTTAAAATTTTCAACAATAGAAGTAAAACAATAAAATAGCCAAAATCATTAAAGAACCCTGGAGTTCTCTCAGCAGATGAGATCTGTGTAGAAAAGATACACTAGTAACCATGTGGAGGAGAGATAGAGATCAGGAAAAAAAGGTGGCAAAGTGGCTTAGCTATAAACCACTGTTGACATCCTGGGCTATGGCAACTGCCCCAGACATAGAGAGCAATGGAGATCAGTGATGCTGCACGGGTGGAATTCACATCAGTGATGCTGTACTGGTAGAGTCCATTGAATGTGAGTATTGAGGATAGCAAGTGGAGGTGGCATACTGCTGTCTTGAGTGACTGAGTTACTCAAGATAGGAGATCATCTAGATAGAAAGAAAGGGACAAGGAACCACTTGGATAAAAATAATGAGCTTGGTTTAAAACTTGTAAGGATCTAGTAACTCTGAGAACTCAATGGAAAGCTATATGTAGATAGCTCACTATAAAAAAGTACGTTTGTAAGTTTCTGCATATAATGGAAGTAGTGTGTCTTTGTGGACTGCCAAAGTCCAGATCCTTTGGGTTCTTTGTTTAGGTCAGAATAGGAAGAATCCTAGTAAATGTTGGCCTGGACCTTCTTCCCAACCTAGACTATTTTCCTCCTGCTGGGGCTCTGCCTGAATGCATTCCAGAAGATGAAACCCAAAGGGATGTCTTTTTTAGCCAAGAAGCCCTAAAGACCCACAACTAATTGGAACCAAGTTTTAAGATATATCCCTGTATTTAAAACTAATAACCATGATGGTCACATATAGCTAAGACAACAACAAAAAATCAAGTATTTGCAATGTCCATAGTTCTATACTCAAGTAGCAAACCATACATGAAATACTCCTAGACTTGAATATAATTTAAGTGCTGTGGTGCCATCTCACCCCACCAAAACCAAACTGGGGTTTTAATAATCTATTATCTTATTATTTTTGTTGTTATTATTAATAGTCCTATTGCCATGGCGTGTGTAGAATGATAGCTTAAATCTGTTGGCAATATTCTAGAATTGTATCCACAGACTATGGGCAAAATTTTAAATCAAGTTTCCTGGGCCAAGTCAAAGCTTCAGTGTGAAGAATACTAGTTCCAGTAAGAATCTTTTTTTCTGGACCACATCTAAAGAAGGAAATGTGCAACAGACACCCCAGAAAAGTGTCCAAAAGATTTTATGAAAACAAACTATGCCAAGAAGACTCTGCTTTGGTGCAAAAGCCAGTACGGCAGTGTGAATTTCAGTGTGACAGTGTGATTTTTCATGGAGTGTATGTAGGCTGGTGTGGAAGAGCCATTTCAGGAAAAGAGAAGAGATCCAGAGAGGAAGTTCCAGGAAGCTGCTAATTCTGTGTAGTACCTGCAGGAAGATTTGTAGCTCAGAGAAAAACCATCTCATGTTAGTTATCAAGAGGACAGACATTTGTAAAAAGAGATCAGTATATTCATAACTGTTGAATATTTAAAATTTTTCTATTTAAAAATCTGCAAATTAGCCATTGCCAGTGGTTCACACCTGTTATCCTAGCTACTCAGAGGGCTAAGATCTGAGAATCACCAACCGGGGAAGGAAAGTCTGTGAGATTCTTATCTTCAATTAATCAACACAAAAACTAAAAGTGGAGCTGTGGCTCAGGTGGTAGAGTGCTAGTCTTGAGCACAAAAGCTCAGGGACAGCGCTCAGGCTCTGAGTTCAAGCTGTCCTCTGAGGGTGAAATGTTTAGGCAAACTAAATCTAGTTAATGAATTGGGTTATAGTGACATAATGTCAAGCAAAAATGGCTGCTGAGACTTTCTCTGAATCAGATTCATTAACTTCTTGATTTTGTTGACACATGAACAAAATGAGCATGTATTTCAGAGATCCATTATTGTCCTTCCTGATTTGGGAAACAAAGATTTCAGAAGCATCTCAATGCAAAAGAAATCAACTATAAGAATTGTAAGTATAAAGCAAGCAGATTAAAAGGAGTTATCAAAGAGCCCAGTTGTAAGCCTCAAGTCAAACTAAAAACAAGCCTAACAAACCAAAATTCCAAGGCATCAAGAAAAAGGATCAATTCCTAACCAAATCTTCTAGTTCAAAAGAGAAAAAAAGAATTTTCATAGTTCTGAACCAATTCACTGGTTTCTAAAGTCACTCTTCTGACATAATTATGTGTGTCCTGGTTTTCATCACTTGCCAAATAAAATCAGTAGATGACGATGTCCATGTGTATGACATGATGTTTGCATGATATTAAAAAAAAAGACCTGTAAGTTTCCATCCATCTTTAAAGAAATACAATGTTTGGTTCACCAAGATATTTGCTTTATAAAAGCTATTTATGTTGCTGGTATTATCTGCTCTTCTAGAATGAAAAAAAACCAGGCAGATATACATGACTTAATAATGGACTTCATTTTAGGCAAAAACACATGCTTAGAATTATGGGCTTCTTCAATTAGAAAGGAATGCAAATAGCCACAAAGACTGGGACTACAAATGACCCCCAGGGCTCTACCTTGCCAGCTTGATGCATTGCTCACCTTTGAAGACTTGACCTTCTTTCTCTAGCAAGTCATTCCATATTAGGCTTACCTCTGGAGCAAAACTCTCAGATAGAGAGCACCCACAGCAAAGGCACTGGGCAGGGTGCCTTGGTACATTATGCCAGTGAGCTGAGGACCTGTGCGGAAAGCAGCATTTGAGTGCATCTCAGAGCAATCCTTTGTAGGAAAGCAAGAAAAGAAACTGAAATGTTTTATAAGCCGTATGTTTTACTCTCAACCCTGACCTCACATTAGTCACTTTCATCTTTGAACAGAATAAGAAAAAAAAAATGTGGCAGACTAAAGAGAAAAAGAGAGACAAGTACAACAGTTTGGAGCATTGGCGAAAGGGTCTGAAGTCTGACAGTCCTCACTGGGATTCCAGCTCTTCAGCTTAACAATTTCATGTCTGAAGTGAGAGAAAAGAAAGGCAGAGATGAAAGATCTTCAGGTAAAAAAAAAGTCTCAGCTGGGCGCTGGTGGCTCACGCCTGTAATCCTAGCTACTCTGGAGGCTGAGATCTGAGGATCACGGTTCAAAGCCAGCCCAGGCAGAAAAGGCTCTGAGACTCTTCTCTCCAATAAACCACTCAGAAAACCAGAAGTGGCACTGTGGCTCAAGTGGTAGAGTGCTCACTCACCTTGAGCTTAAGAGCTGAGGGACGGCGCACAGGCCCAGAGTTCAAGCCCCGTGACCGACCCAAAAAAAAAAAAATCTCAAGGATTCAAATAGTCTACACTCACTAAGAGCAAATTTTTCTATTCTTTCTATAATCAATCTGGAAACATTTCCTGATTACTTAGTATATCCTTAGCAATGCACTTCGCTCAGAAAGAAAATTGCCCAATCTTCCTCTTCATCCTCAAGAAGCATAGAATCTCCCTCTGGAAACAGCAATCACACATGAACTACACAAAAATAACCTGAATTGCTAAGCATCCATATACAGTTCAAGACATATGTGTAGTATTTAGAGGGGGAGCTGAGGAGAGCTGACCTGTCACAGGGATCCCAGGGGCACATGGTAAAGAGGTGAGTGGGTATATAGAAAAGGAGAGCTGGCCTCTGCCCAGAAAGGAAACGTGCCATGGCCAAGTTTTTCCCTGAAATACATGGGAAATGGGCAAGACAAGAGAGCAAGAATTTGTGAACTAACAACAGCCTGTACTGAGGGAAGGATGGGCAAAGGCAGAGAGACAGGAACCATTAGGAAGGAGGGAGGATGCACTGGATTCAGGAACTGAACAGAGGAAAGAGAAGGGTTAGGTTTCTAACCCCACTGAAGACCTTTGAGTCCCTTTTCATCTCCATTTTATTCCACGGCAAGGAGTAAAATCACGCTCTTCTATTTCCTTAGGGAGGCTATTGCCTTTTTCTATAACTGGACGACATGATGCACAGTTTAGAAAAAGTAGGCTCATCTGAGTTCGTAGCTCACCTCAAGCAAGCCAACTACCTTCCAGGCCTCAGTTTCCTTATCTGGTAGATTGGAGTGAGTCATATATTCAATAAATTTCTTAGTTAGGAAGCACTTAAAATAGTGTATGTCATTTAGGAAGAATCCCTAAGTGTCTACTACTAATAGTAGTTATTAATATTATTATTATCACTGCTATATCTATTACTTTTCATCTTTAGCTAGAATATGCCAACAGAAATAATTACCTTACAGATGACTATATTGGAGATACTAAGGAAAAGTCCATCTTAGCAGTTCTTCCCAAACTACTGCCAATAGTGATAACCCCAAAGCAAGACCCAGGCAATCAAGTGTCACATGGCAAGATTTGTGCCCACACCTAGCTTGGTGAATGGCCTCCATCCACTCTTTGCCGTCCTGCTCCTCCTCACAGCGCAGCTCCAGTGGTTTCTGACCTTCGTGTCCAAAAAGGACAGTAAAATAATACTGGAAAGAAAAACAAACATTAAAAAGTTTAGTTTTATTTTCCTGTGTAAAAACATAGTAACACAGTAGTTACCACCAACAAGTATATGTGACAAAATCCAACAACATTATATATGGTGTATTTCCAAATATGATGTCACTCCTCTCCAGTTAGCATAGAAATGGCATGTGGAAGATAGCATAGACTACATCGTAACATCCCTCAGTAACAGTCAACTCACAATGCTACTGTACTGCATATTATTATACAAGTACAAAAAGAACACTGTACAAATCTATCTCTGAAGATATATTAAAGTTAACATGAAAAAATAACTGCAGACATTTTCTGAGAAGGAAGAGTATGTTAAGATTACAGGGATCCAAGTATGCATATTTGCATCAGCCAATTATCATTTCTGTTCTCCTCTATATCTATTCCCATTCAGACAAGCAATATGCCTAGTATTACATCCAATTGTTACCATTGCCTTTCCTTCCATCTTAGCACCAATTGCCTCTATCCTTGTTTTCCTAGACAGATTATCCTTGACATAGGAAGGAAACCTAATCCCTATCCTGGGGGCTAAGAGATCGGCACAATTTCTTTTTGATAGAGTTGTGATCTAAGTTGTTGAACAAAAGGAATTGGGCTAAACTAAAAAAAAAGCATACCATCATTTATCAGAAATAAAATAAATTATCAAGGATATAATGACTTTTCTTATATAAGGGTACTTATAATTACCCTAGAGTCAACCCAAATATCCATCAGTAGGTGAGTGGATTTTTTTTTAATGCTGGTATATTCTTACAAAGGAACACTATTCAAAAGTAAAAAAGGAACAAACTTGATAAACCTAGCATCTTGGATCTCTCATAAGGATCCGGTTGAGTAGAGAAGCCAGCTTAAAGGCTTACATCCTCTCTAATTTCTTGTGAGTGATCTTGAACTAGTGTCGTCAAATAGATCCATTGTTTTCAGAAAGCATGACTGTCAGAAGAGACTGGACAGTTCCGCATGATCACTGCAGGGCCTGTACAAATCTAAATCGAGATTTAAGCACATACAGTCATGCCAAAAAGTCAATTTTGTATATATTATATAAATATTTTTTAAATTAAACATAGTTGTCATCAGGATTCCAGAACACAAAATAAAATCATATAACCAGAGCTCACAGACCCTCAAACTTTGTGATCCACAAAGTCACCCTGTGCTCTAAAAGGATTGGCATGAAATAGAGAACTTTACAACAATAAGCAGATACCATGGATCATAGTTGCAAAACAGAATCTGCTTTAAAAAAATCATCTTGCAAAAAGCTACATAAAGATGTGGAGAATTCTCGTGTATAATACATAGAAGTGCATTTGTCTGGTTTTGAGTCTGCTTTGGATTAGACAAAGTGATAAGTGTCTGAGTCAAAGACGCATCACCCTGACAACCTTTGTGAGCCACAATATACCCAGTAAATCATGATGATTCAGTACAAGCTCAGAGATCTTTGTGGTACAATTGAACAGATGGAACATCTAGAGATTTACTCTAGCCTACACAGCTTTAAAATGCTTTAGAAACAAGCTGCTATATCCAGACAAAGTAACAGTACTTCCAGATAAGCAATCCCCATGCTAGAAACATAGGTAAGAAGCAGAACCATAGCAGAAAGTTTGGGGAGGGAAGAGTAACACAGTAGGACCCAAGTAGCTGAGGATATGCTGTTGTAACACAATATAGGGTTTTGGAAGCTAACCTAAAGCTCAGGCCTAAAATAAGGTCACATGAAAGGTTACCAACTTGGTATAATAGAGACTATAGAAACTCTGCTCCCAGGCTATAATATGCTGGGATAATTTCCTAAGTCAGAAGTATAATTTGAAAAAAACAAACATTTTTATATATTGGAATGGTCACTGTACCTCTGATTAGGAAAAATTGTCCTAACTGCAATTTGAAATCCAAAACATGCAGATAAAAAATATAAAATTTAATTACAGGAAAGCAGCCTGAATAAGAAAAACACCTCAAGAATGCATTAAGACATGCAACAAAGTACAAATACATAATGGGATCATACCACTCACATGTTATTATGTGGTTTTCCTCTTTATGCTATTCATATTGTAAGTTATATGAATATATTTCTTAACATTTATAACTTTCAAAATTGTGTTACTTTTTGTAGTGCATATTTGGAAGAACATTAAGCTCATAGAAAAGCTATATGAACCACAATATAGTTAAAAATTGAGTTACTACTGGGCACTTGATAATTCATGCCTCTAGCTTCCAGAGATCTAAGAATCATTGTTTGAAGCCAGTCCAGGAAGGAAACTCTATGAGACTATTATCTCCAAATAACCAGCAAAAAAAGCAAGAGGTGGAGCTGTGGCTCAAGTGGTAGAGTACTAGCCTTTAGCAAAAAAGCTAAGGGATAATTAATAATCAAGCCCCAGTATCTCACACACACACACACACACACACACACACACACACACACACACATTACCTTAAAAATAGCTTAAAAGAAATATTCTTAAAATATAAAAAGAGAATGTTATATGTCAAAGGCAGCCCGGGAGGGTCAGGAGCCACACAGAAGGAGGTTAAAGGAGTCCTTTTCAAGGCTGAGGGCAAGAAAGAAGGATCATAGGAGATGGAGCAATAGATGTTATTCCTGCCAACTGAGAAGCTCCTGAAAGCCCAAAAGAGAATCCCTGAAGATTAGGCTTTAACTCCAGCCACACACAGTGGAAACTCATGTTGTTGGGTCCAACTTGGAAAAGTAAGAGCAGCCCAGGAAGTTGGGACAGGAGCCAGGGACAAAGCAGTTGCCAAAGCCTGTCTTTCCCTGTAGCCCCAGCCAGGCACAGAGGAGCATTCACTATAAACTAGTTTATCTGAGGCTGCAATGTTAATTACCAACTGAGACTGTATGGGAGGGAAAATGACTGCAGAATTTGTGATATCAGAGCTATCTGAAAATACTGGGCCTGCAGATGGATGGGGCTGATAAGGAGGGAGAAGTTGAGGTCTTTGCTTAGTTAACTGGTCAATACAGATGCATTTGACAGAGAAAATTAAGAGAAGGATTGGTTGTGAGGGCAGGAGGTGTCTGGGGGTGAACTGCATTTGGGACACAACTGAAATGCTATGTAATAGAAGACATGCCGGTTGGTACTTGGGAAAGAATTAGACTGGAGGAGTAGATTTGAGATCAAGTGAAAATATCCAGGAAGGAACAAGAAAAGAATCTCACTGTCACTAGATCAATGTTGAATTTAAAGACATGAACTTGGTCATCTCTCTGTGCAACTCTTCCTTCCACTGTACAATGACCCAGGACTCTGTATTATCTTTCCCAAGTTCCAGAAGGAGAGCAGGTCAGAGGTCACAGAATGCCATCAATGCTCGGCTGCTATTTTCAACACCCAAGAGGACCTAAAAAGCCTCAGGTCTGAGACAGATTCAGGGGACACCAATTTCAAGGTGAGGCTAACGACTTTCTGACAAATAAATAATTTTCAGGCACACACAGAGACAGTACGAGGGTTTTGTTTTGTTGGGCTTTTTTTCTGTGATTTGGGTAAATTTATTAAATGACTCTGGGAAACATAAATTTTACTTCTCATCACTTTTCCCGTCATTGCTTTGCGTGAGACACAGCTTAACCTTTGGATGTACACTGCTAATATAATTGCCTTGCTGTCGCTTAATGGTGGCTTTTAATTGGGTTCCCAGGCAGCGGATGTTGGGGACGTGCCCGTGCAGTGCTCATAGATCAGGGCAGTTCATTGACTTCTTCCACAGCCTGGCTGCAGACAGGGATAGAAGCCAGCAGTTACCAAAATGTCACCCTTAAAGATAGCTCTTTAAGCCATTGATTTGTTAGTTTATTGAGTTCCTGTTCTCTCAAACGTAGATGGAGTTTTATGAAATACAATACTAAATTCAATGCTTCCCCTTCTCAGTAGGCTTTTCAGAAGGTTATTTCCCCCCTAGTTTATGGCATTTAGTTCTCTACCCAGATTAGGAATTTAGGAAGTAACAGCTGTTATGCATGGGATTTAGTAAGGGGCTGTCTGTGGGTTAGGGTGGCAGGTTATCTTCTGGCATTTTACTCTTGCTGGGGCTATGGTAATTCTTCCATCATTGGATTAAAAGAGAGGACCACTATGAAATATGCTCCCATTTATGCTGCCTAATCTATGGCTGGTCTTTCTCCTTGTGTTCCATCTATTAACATAGCCCAGATTAGATCACCTCATCTACCTAATGGCTAATGACTTTTCCTTCTTGTGGAGGCTGGGTGACCTGTAGGTAGGTAGCTCAATGAGTTGAGCAAGCAAGTATGTTTTCAACAAAGATTTAGATGTTCAAGATTGGTAGAGAAGACAGAAGGATGCAGAAACCCAGTACAGCTTCTGTCCCACTCTGGCCTAAAATCCTGGAAAAGAGTATGATAAAAATGTTGATAACATGGGTGGCATGTGCCTATAATGCCAGCATCAAGAAGTGGAAACAGGAGACTCATGAACTTAAGAATTGCCTGGGTTATATAGTGAGTCTTTCTCAAAAAAGTGGAAGGAAGTGATGACAAAACCCCTTCTGGGACTCTAGAGTATGCTTTGCACAGCTCTTGTCACAACTGTATCTTTGACAACATGAGTAGGACCCTTTAGGGTGATTGCATCATGTAAATCAGTCATTTGTTCAAGAGTAGTCTTTTTTAAAGAACAGTATGCATGGAGCTGTCCAGAGCCTCCCCCTTGCTCCTCTGAGGTGGGGCTGCTCCCTAGCATCCTGAGGAGGACTGAGGAAGAAATGTATTCTCCAACCTTTCAGGCTGTCACAGCCCAGTATAAGCCAGATACAAATCAACCAGGAAGCAAAATGAACCTGAAACAAGGATCACAGTTACAGCAGCCACACACCTCCACAAAAAATGCCACCAGAATGCCAAAGTCAGAGCAACACGATGCCATATCCCAGTCTGCACCAGTGAGGACCCTCCCCC